AATACCGATGTATTATTACTAATAAACCACAATGATCCGATCGAAATTAGGGATTTCGATCGGATCATGGGGGGGGGGGGGCACGTGCCACCCACTGTTCCAACTCCATCCCACACACCCCAAAGGTATCCCTCACAAACACTTGCGGAGCCAGTGGGGGGGGGGGGGGGGCACGTGGAACAGTGGGTGGCTACAGTATCGGGTTGTTGTGAGGGTGGGGAGCGGTAGTGGAGCGGTGAGCGCACTACGAATCCAGCGACCAGGGTTCGATTGCCGCTCACGGCCAACGCCAGTGGCGATTATCTGAACCCGCTCCCCCCTAGATCGCCTCAGCCTCAATTGAGTGCCTGGTGCAAAGTGTAACAACGTTGCCACTAGGGGAGACAAAGGCGGCCGGGCGTGGTGCTGGCCACCTTCCCCCTCGTGTACCGTTCCGTCGTCTTCATATGTGCTCGCGACAAGCACTTGCCCCAAGCCTTGTTACAGGCTACCCGGGGGATCTTTGTCTTTGTGAGTGTTGATGCCACTGTGAGTGGAGCTCACCGAGCTCCGTGTGGGGGTGAGATGAGGAAGCCCCCCCCACACTCGCTCCCTCCGCCCCCCTTGAGCCATCGCCGTCTCCACGTGGACCCCGGACCCACGGCAGGCAAGGCGGGAGCTGCAATGACCACTGCAACTCCTCCTCGCTGCACTCACTCAGCACACACGCAGGCAGCGAGGTCGTCACTCAGGCGACGGCTCGTCTCACGTCCACCGAACCCCACGACACAATTGGTGGCACACGGAGTCAGTGTTACATATCAAGGTATTCACTCGAATCGGCATGACAGGGGAATATCTTGCAGGGCGGTCCAGATGTCTTGTGACCGCACCCCCCCCAAAATTAATTGACCCTTAACATTTTCTAGATTTAAAGCTTTCGTGACTGCAAGGATCCATACTCTTTGGTTCTATTCGGTAAAGTCACGTAGGTAAAAAAGAAAACATTTTTCTTACTTTGCATATTCACGTAGGTAAAAAATAAAATAACATTTTTCTTACTTTGCATATTCGTTTCTGTTTTCACACCCATAGGTATGCAACGACATTACGTTTTAAATCTATTAAATGGGGGTCGCGAGACATCTGGACCATCCTGTAAAATACTTCCCCAGGGGTGTCTTCATCTAAATAGTTTTACAACTGGCCTCAACGCTCCCCACCATCAACTTAGAAACTTAAAAAAAAGTGTGGGGGAGGGGGACGCATGGGTGGACACGATGGACTTCGTATGGGTCATCTTCTTGCAATGGAATCATTTGCGAGCCGCATTCCAAAAGCTGTCAAAACGTTACCTTGGTCACGCTTCGTATTCAGAGGGCTGCGATGAGACACCAAGCGTCGAAACCCGTAGAGAGAGTCAAAATTTGTCATTTTACATTCCCAGAAAGCCGTCCGGCTGATGGGTTGTGTTAAGAAATACTTTCATTATGCAGACATTTCTGATTTATTTAGTTTTTACGTGATTGTTTCAAGAGAGTACTGTACGTGAATTACAAAGGCTGACAAAACTTGAGATACAGTCCAACTAAATAAACGAAGATTACGATTCTGAACTAACTTTCAAGTGCATTATGCAGGGTGGGCGGTAAGTCCATATACCACTGTCTCGGCAAACCATAACGGCTCTCACGGGTTGAAGGGGTATAGGGACTTATCGCCCAACCTGCATTTTCACGGGGCATTTCAAAATCAACCACGGTGCGCATTGATCCATTGCATCGGCGATCCCTCCCTCCCTCCCTGCAAGTCTGGCATCGTTTCCCGTCATTGGCCGATCGGCTGTGGATGACGCAGTCCTGTGACGGCTTCAACAAGAGTCACGTGGGCAAACAAACGTGGCTGCCGCCATGGCGTGAGTCCACGTGGGCAGACTGCGTGTTGCCCCCTCGTGACCGAGCTGGTAATAGCAGCGCGTCGTTATTGGCTATGCCCATCGAGGATTGTGATTCCCCGTTTCCATGCTCTTTGTCTTCTTTTCACATGATTTCGGCTGTAAAGGCCCGATAGCTGAAGGAACGGCGTGGGAAGTGAAAATCAGAATATGAATGCTGGAAGAATCCCGATGAGCTATAAAGCTCTTCTTTACATATATCCCGTATTTTACACAGGTGTCCAGAAAAAATTAATGGCTTAACGTGTGTGCCCAATAATTAAAATGCTCCTTTCTTGCTGTAGGGCAAGATTCAATTTGATTTTGCTTAACGAGATAACTCGAGAAACAATCGTCTCGTTTGCAAAAGTTACCTGGGTCGCCCAAAATGGCAAAACGAAGATTTAGCAACCCGTGCGTGAAACGTGCCGCGCCGGGACACGGGATCGAACTGCCGCACTCTAGTTTGAGGTCACGCCACTTGAGTTGGAGAGATCTCCAATCCAAAAAGTATGAGCCACTGCCCTTAATACCTCTGCATCCATGTGAAATGACGGCGTAGAATTGGGTGCGTATAGAGCAAGCACACTTTAACGGTAAGTAAACATTAAACTGACCTCGCAAAGTGTCCTCCAACACCGATACAGATCACGCGAATGGCAGCGGATAAATAATTATTGGCATCGGGAAACGGTGGAGGCTCGTACCAGCGTCAACCCGCGGGTTCACTCCCGCAGATCTGTCCACGGCGCTGCTTTGAAGTGGCATTGTTGCGGTTTTAATGGTTGGGCTGCGATTTACACGGCTGAGTTGGCCCATCAGTTTCACTTAATAAAGCAATCATACTCTTAAAGAACGGATGTCTCCGTTTTCTCATGCAAAACGGAGACATCGGGTGCAACCGCAACAAACAAACAAAATATGAACAGAGAACATCTTAAAGCGACGACGCGAAACAGAAACATCCTGGATAAACCAGCAAATCTTCGAGAAAAAAAAATTCTCGTCGTACGCACGCAGGTTTACTATATATGCTCTTCTTACGGCTGACTATGCGTATACTGCAATCTACCCACGACAAGTTGGGGAACACCAGTCTTTCATTAAGTCAAATGGTTTATTATCCTGAAATGTACCAGTCGTTTGGAAAATTACGATGTCCAATGATGCGGTCGAAAACTAATGAGTTGCCACCCGGCACGCAGTGTAAACGTTTGCAGTTCTTGGTAGACCACTGCCAGACGGTTTCCCTGCACTGTTGTTAGTTATGGGGAGATATTTGACCACACTTCACGCTGGTGAGTTCAGACTTAAGGGAGATGCTCAAGACAATTTCAGATGTCACTCGACACAGATTTTCGCTGTGGCCAGGAATTGAACACGTGATGCTGGGATCGTAGGGCATTGCGCTTACTACACCACCACTGCAACCCCATTAATTGAAATGTACTCCATAGTAAGTTCAATTTCGGGAAAAAAAACTTGAAGATAATTGAACTGCACACCGCAGGCCGAAGCCAGCTATGTTCGAAATAACAAAAATTTTATCAGCGCCTTTTCTGTTTCCGCAGCGTAATAATACAGTTGGCCCTTTAAATTGGTCACAGTCCAACGAACAACCTTGCCTTGTTATTGTGACGTGACGTGAAACTCAAAAAGAGACGCGTGGTCACGACCGCTCAAAGCGCCGCGCCCCAGGAGAGGTTGGGGAAGGCGAATCGGACAATTCAGCTTCCGTCCCGGCTCCGTGAGGCAGGCATGCGGCTAATTGCCCTCCAAGAGATTTTCGAGCAGTGTCCCGAGCCCCGATGTCAAGCCCGCACCGTGAAACGGCACGAAATGGGAGACATTAACAGGAGCATTCATTAACAGTGTAACACAACAAAAATGATCCTGGGTGGTGTTATTTCCGAATTGCTTATGCCTCAAAAGTACAGAAAATGGCTATTCAAAATAGGACAGTGCTATTTTGACATTTACCTATTTTCAATGAGATAACGTGTGCATTTGTGTCTTTCGTTCACATAAAGTCCTGGTCACAAAAGCAAAGTTTGTGGGGAATAGTATACATTTTCTATACTTTTAGGCATAAGCAATAAAAAAATAACAATTAGTACCCATGAACAAAAATGGTGTTACATGTTATCACCAGGAGCAGCCATGATAAATCCACGATATGAAACCCTCTCCTCCCAAGCCGGCCCTGTGTAATCCACCTATTGCACACCTGCATACGGGTCGATTGCATCGCTCGGTTTCTCCATTGCGTGGCCTCTTGGCCACATGCCAGTCCTTGACTGCCACTTGCCTCGATCGCCAGCCATCAAGAGACACGTCTTACCCAATCCCACTTGCTACACGTTAAAATTATGCCAATAACCTGCATGCGTTTTCTAATTCATGTTCCTTTGTCTCAAATTAATTCCAAGTATGAAATATGTCCATGCTTTGCTCACTTGTATAGCTTTGTTGTTGACAGGTTTTGAACTATCATACCAGACAGCAGTACTCGGCTGTTCTTATTTAGGCACACTGCAACGTTACGTTGCTCAGGTTCAAAATAAATTCACCCGTTAAAAACAAGCAGTTTTTGTTTTGTGTTTAAACGCAAGACTGTATGGAGCACTTTGTAGGCCTGCACTGATTATAGAGGGCAAGAGTAAACGTCAAGTGTTGGAAGGTAAAACAAAGCAGTAGGTGGTTGTAGGGACGTAATCAACGTGTATACATCACATTCATTTCAAAAATGAATCTAGGACAACATGCAAGGGCAACCCAAGTGGGTGGGTTGGTGGGGGAGGTTAGGGAGTCAACGGTGATGGGAGTTTAACTTAATTTGTGGCCGTAAATTTGATAAGCAATCTTATTGACTTTAAATATTTGGCATTTAATTTGCTTTTTGAGAAACATCCTTAGGGCATACACACACACTGCCAATAACAGCAACTTAGGCATGCGACTTTGTAAAGCCACTGTTGACGGACATTAATGTAACAATCTCACAAAGGAGAAATGTCACCCAAAAGAAACTTTTAAACGGGTCTGCCGGTGACTGAGCGACGGTGAATGTATACACACGCGTTGAGAATCAACAGTAATAACATTTTATTGTATAATACATAAACAATACAATCACGTAACATTCAATGTGGCGCAATCCCACACTTACGTAAAATTGAACTTTACAACACAAAAAAGAAAACCACCAGCAGATTTATGAACGAAATGAGCACTTTCATTAAAAATATGCACAAAAATACAATAGAAGTATGCACAGTTTGTGGAGTTCTAACCCTATGGAACGTCAGAAAATGTGTCGCTTTCGTAAAGGAAATTCAACGCAAAATGGACCAAGAGAGCTGGGATTTTAAAGAGTAATATTTCATTTGAACACAAGTCCTGTCAATTTCATTGAATGTTCACCATGGCAAGATAACAACTTGTAACTCAACATTGGTGACTTTATGCAGCTCCGTTGCCGTGTGCGTGCTCAGCCGTGTTTGTTGGCTTGTGCATTCAAGCGAAGGCGCAACACGTGTGATAGAAACCGTAGGAAGCTGTAGATGATATGAATAACTCGGCGGGACAAAGGCGGTTGCATCTGATTTGCGGGGGAGAAAGCCAGCCAGCTGTCAATCACGTTACATTGCTGAAAAAAAACCTTTTCAGCAGCTAAAGAATGTTCCGTAACTACAAAAGTTTTTACTTTAAAAATTGGTACGAATGTTCTCGTCATAAGAGTCCACTGAAATTGTGCATCGGTCCTGAATGGGGATATAATAACAGTTTACTGCGCACAACCAAGTAGAATTTAAACTTTTTTTTTAACTAAATCCTCACCTAGCAAATTTAAACAAAACTATGTGAAAATAGAAAAATATGATTGGAAACCAATTCATTTCTCATCTAAGTGCAAAGGGGCCCAAACGCAGTCAGGGCAGATTCTCGGTGACAATGGAAGCCTCAAGAGAACAAGGCAGCATAACACTGCTGCAATACCGTGTGCTTCCAGAGTGGATTTTCTTTCAATTTGTTTAAACACTGTTTCTTTTGCAAGGGAAGGTGAATCAAGGCAACCGATGTTGTTCTTCAGCTACGGGCTTGGTTCCAAAATTTGCGAGATGTTTTGCACAAAGCACTTCCAAAAATGCGTGAAAAGGAATTCTCATGTGGGACGTTGTGTGTATATTTTATTGTTCAAACGACAGTCGGTGACATGCCAAGAATACTGCCCCCCCCCTTCAACACTGCCGTGGTTTCCAACTAAACTAATACAGTATAACCATATTTACCGCCTTTTGTATACAGCTTCTTCCCTTAGCTTCAGAACACTAACTTACCTACAAGGACTACATGATCAAAAAGTAAACGCTGGCATGAGTACTATGTCATTGGCAAGGGTTAAATTGTAGGGAAGGTGGCAGCTGTAAGGGGAATTTGTGTCGTGTTTATCCCTTATTCTTTCACAAGGCCAATTGAAATGCAGCTGCTCCCAGTTTAGATACGGCACTTGCACTAAGCTGCATTACGGATCCACCACTTATAAAACCAAGAAAATGGTCAATGCTCCTCCTACAATTTAACCCCTGCTTGTTTGTAAACTGTTAACTCTTTATCCATCAAATTATTCTGCATTATTATCTTTTTCCTGTGTTTCAGGCCACATTTTTAAACATTAAAAACAGTCTTACAATGAGAAGATGCACATAAATTCTAATGGGAGATCTTTCTACAAAAATTCATTTAAACTTTTGCTAACCGTTTTTGATATTTGAAAATGTTGGCTTGCCAGGGGGAAAACTGAAGGTGTTAACGATCGTTATGCAGATGATGTTTAAAGAATACATAATTCTGCAGCTCTTAAGAAAGGTGTTGCGCACTTGTTTTAACGCCTCAAATTGTAACATAATCCTGGCAAGCCGACCTATATATTACAACAATACAATGCCATCACCTGGTCAGTGCTAAATGTACTCGACTATGAATGAGTCATATAAGCGAGTTCTTACAGGCTGTCTTGTCCGTGGCCAGTAGCAGCATGTGGACATCACGTGGGTCATTTAAAATAAAAACAGCTGTGAATGAACAGTAATTCCACCAGGTCTTTTTATTTTTTCCTTTCTTAAAATCCTGGAGAACTGTGCAGGCAGCAAATTGCTAGAGGGCAGGAAGTTGTGGGTAGATGGTAAAGAATTTCTACTAAAACATCAATCCTTCGAAACCTGCAAAACAATGGAAATGCGGTGGTGTTATGATCTACAGTGGCTGTTTTTAAGTATGCATTTTAGGCAGTGATGTTTAAAATGCTATCCATTTTACCCAAAAGATGAATGTGATCATAATGTAATATAATTTTCACTATTAAATTTGGAATAATGCATGCATAATACATCTATTAATAGTGCTGACATGCTTTAATCTAAAACAAGAGTAATTTACAGTCCTTTGTCAAGATCCTGCTTGATTAATCCAACCACATGCTTTGTCAGCGACGGGGTTGTTTTTAACACATTTCAGTTTAGAGATCACTCGCCACCAATCTTAGTCGTAGTCGGGAATCAAACTCAGGTCGCGCCGAGTTCACAGCGCACCAAGCGCTGCACTCACCAATTCAAGACCCACCATCACCGCATTCAACGCGAGCCGCGCGACCGATTTGATCAGTGTCAGTCTTGCACAGCAGATGGCGCTGTGGCTTAAAATCAACCAATATTTCAGAGCCAGACAAGGGCAGTTTCCTACGATGGCCAGCGCGCTTACACCAACCACGTCTTATTATTTTAAGTGCAAAGCGCATGATGAAAGCACTGTACACTAACGGCAAATTGGTCTGCCAATGTGGATTTTTAATTTTTTTATTTACGACTGTTCTTATGGTTCATTTGAACTACCCATAACCCCCTTCAACACGGGGTTTGCCACCCATCCTATTGAAGAGTTCACATATCTACGGCACTAAGCCCGTAATGGTTGTGTGGTGGTGTTACCGCCCAGTGTTCGGTGTTCATTATTCAAACCATTCTGGTGATAAGAGAGCGTGGTTATCTCCTCTCCGTGCTTTCCACAGAAGCAGCCATCCCTCTACCCTGTCAAAACAACAAGAGTCAATGGAAAAATATTGCCCGCCAGTACATTCAGTTAACAAACAAATGCAGTATAAATTTGTATTTAAAGCTTTCATGACTGCAGGGATTCATATTCTTGGTTCTTTCGGTAAAGTCACGTAGAAGGGAAACAATAAAATAATTAAAAAATTGTTTCATATTTTTATTATTTTATTGTTTCCCTTCTACGTGACTTTACCGAAAGAACCAAGAAAAGGCAGTATATAAAAACGATCCAATGCAATTAAATGTAGCTGGTATAATAAAAAAATAACCTCATTAAAATTTAAGTAGTTTAACGAATACTATATTGTCACATTTGTTCCTGCACATCAACCTAATCTTCGACTGATTGCTCGCTAGAATATTTCGTATGTAGACTTGACGGTCGAATAGTGCCACCAATAGGAAAGCATGCAAACCGTACAGAAAAATTAAGCATTGATCATCGAAGCACAATACTTTATAAACAAAAACATGACCAGTCTAAAACGACATACGCATCTTAATACACAAAATGAAATTACACGATTCTGTACCTTTGAAATATTCACTGTGCTGTGTAAAGTAACGAGATATCAAACGAAGGACGCCGCATGAGAATAAATACATGGACGTGCTTATGTGTCGATTGTCCAGGGTGTTGTTGTTGCTTCTTCGTACGCACGAGTTTTCACTGGGTTTCCTCCCACATTGAACCACTCGCTCACGGAATTGGCGAAACATCGCAGAGTTTGGAACTATGCTGAAAATAGTCTTCAAGTTCAGCGAGTGAGGCCTTCCCTGGGTATATAATTGACCTCAAAATAAAATGTGACATGTGTATATCATTTAGTGATGTATTTAGTCATTACATTTACAGTTTCAACTGTTTTTGGCATATTACACATTTGTGTACCCTTTGATCTTGGCCAACACAATTGTTGACAACATAGGACTTTTTTTAATGATGCGTTACTAAAACGATTGAAGTTTGCCACTTTAGAATAGGCATGTCATTGAATTGATACTGTAGTGCAAACACTAGTTTTCACTTCCCCATTGGGGTTTTGAGAAGCAGGCTTTTATCCTCTGAAGCACTCAACGTGGTATTTAAGGGTATTTTTTTTTTCGAAAGACATTTTCAGTCTATAATTTGTCCATGTCAAGATGTTAAATGATCGAGTGAAAAACACAGAATGTACGCTTTAAAACATGTAAAATTTTGCAACCTGGTATTTATTGTAAACATGACCTTTTCTTAGTGGTTTATCTCGCACACCCAAAATGCCATGCGCTTCACATGAAAATTGGAAGGCAATTTTAACTACGATCTTTTATATTAATGTTATAACTCAATCGAAAGTTTTCCCCAAAAGATTGTAACTCACAAGGCGATTATACAATTGATATACAAAACCAAATGTTTTCACAGACAATGAAAATCGATCATGTAAATACACACTGCCAAGACAAGTCCACCATACCTTATGTTTGGCACATTTGATCAGGAAATTATCTTCGCATAGCAAACAATCTGTAAACACAAGAAGATTTAATTAGGGCAAAAAGTCCTACTTTCACTTGTACACACATATCTTATTATGCATGTTGCATGTGAAGTCATATGGAGAGTCATGATCTAATACACCAGCAAAACAAAACAGGGCTATAAAAAACTAATTTAATATGAAACTGCTAAGATTCGCTTATGCAAGTAATGCATCGCCAGACTTGCAAATGTACCGAGGATTGGACAAAGGAACAAGGGTCATCTCGTAGTAAGCACATTCACAACTAAAGACGCAAGCTCGTTACCATGAACCTGATATATAAATACTAATTTAAATTGTCACTATGTCCAGAGGTTGGGTACTGCCCGTACCTTGCACACGGTGTCCAAAAATACAACCAAGACGGATTCTGTAATGACATCAGTGGCGATCGCACCACACAATATGGATCTTGGAAGGCATGGGGTTGGACCTGGGGCGGAAAGATTTACCGAGCGCTGGCTCGGTGGCTCGGCGCAGCTAAGTGCAGCAGGGCACGGCGCCCAGCTGGGAGGCTGGACCACGAGGGCAGCCTCTCACGGTTACATTCGCAGACGCGTTGCGCAATCGTCAATTAAAAAGAACAGCACCCACCCGCTTCCATGGCACAGATGAAGTGATAGCGCTGGGCGCATCCCTTGCCGTGGCATCCCAGCGTGGCTCCTGTCCGCTGGCACTTGGAACAGCTCTGTCGTGCCATGGGAACAATACGCGTTTTTTTTACATATAATATGTATGTAAAAAGAGCTAAACTTATTATGTCACTTGTCCTTCCAACTCCTTTGACAAAAACTGCAGCAACAGACCAAAGAGCAAACAGTGATCTGATCGCGTTTTGAAAATACACTGACCAAAGGGATATGTTCGTAGATACGGCTTCACTCGGCTGTGTTCCCTCCCTTCACAGTTGAAATATTATTCTGTCGCTTGACGCGTTCCGTTATTCATGAAAGTAGTGGCTACTACCAATGTGACGCGGTGCTGACTGGCCGAGAACAGATATTGCTGCCCAGGGCTACTCTCGGTTGAAACGATCCAAATTATTACGGGACGGTTATTGCTTGCAATATATCGCGTCAATTTTTTTTCATCTACATTTACTTTTTTAAAATGTTACATATCATGACATGCGAGCTTGCTTCTACATACGCAAGATATTCAAACTGAATATACAACCTAACCATTTTACATAGCTTTTAAAAGTGAATGATTTTAATTGCTGAAAATACGCATTCAGTTATGCTGAGGTAAACATTTGATGAAATGTATAAAAGCAAACGTGTTTTTGCTGTGTAGGAAACATTGCAACAAAAGTTAAAAATGGCAAACAATTGCAAATACTTATAGATAAAAGCTTCAACCTGCTATGTAACCAGAAAGGAAAAAAATAGTATCGCGGTATATATTACTGTTACAAATTCCAAACATGCACATCACTCAACTCCTCCACCTTGGGAATATCTAAGTCACATGACAAACATGTGGAGGAGATATTATGCAATGTGATAATCACAACATAGATCTGCAGGGAAACGTAGATTTTTCATTCGGCTGCTCCATGGCGAGGCAAGTGACACCGACGTGTGATAAAAACGGGTCCCAGCTGTGCCGTGGGGTGCAATGCGAGAGAGTTACCGCACGACGACGACGCGGAAAGTCACAATTGGAGCGGGCGCACCGTCTGCTGTAGATGCTGCTCTACGCTAAGTTTAGGGCGGAGACGCCGTCACGTTTCGCAAACGACGACCCCCCCACCCCATTTACTGCACGAATTTCTGCGGCTGGCCTTGTAGGTGCAGCAAATGAATTACGCCCACGGCACGCATTTACTTAGGCGTTTATTTTGCGTTTCCGCAGAAGGTCATGCTGGCAAAGCTAAAGCAAATAGAGCATTATTTCAGCAATACTTTTTTTTCTTTGGGTGCCACATCAGCATTGCATATATACGATGTCGGGAATAAAAAAAATATGGGCACGGCTACTTTATTCTGAAAGGCTTTAAATCAGTGCTGAAACAGAATCACAAAAGACTTGGTTTTAAAGCCATAAGGATGGTTTATGATGTCATTAATATGGATAAGATTCAAATGTGCTTTCGTAAAGCTGTACTTTGATTTTAAACAACGGCTACATGCTGGTGAATGGTACGTGGCGAATAAGCTGTTTTTTGCTGGGGGAGAGAGAGGAAGGGGTTAGAGCACAAGCCGATGATTTGTACAAAGACAAGGTCATATTGCGATTATGATTTCAAGAATGCAAAGCCACACTCACAATGTCACGAGCAATCTCCACCGCTTCGAGCAGTCCGTAGAGCCGTCCTCCGACGAGGAAGACATCGCTAGTCCACACGGCGCACGGCTGGTGGACCCAGAACTCCTCGTTGTCGAGCGGCACCTCGGGAGGCGGCTGCGCCTCCGCAGTCGGCGACTCTTTCTCCACCGCTTCCTTCCTCCCTTTTCTGGAGCGACCGTCCGAGCTCTTCTCCACGGCCCCGTCGCTGTCCACGCAGCAGTAGCAGCTGGGTTTGCGGCAGCGCGCCCCCCGTGTGCTCCCGCGTAACGACGCACAGTTCTCGTCCGTGGAGCCTGCCCGCGGCTTCTTCGTTCCTCTGTGATCGCTCGACCCCGCCGGTTCGGCAGGGCTGGCCTTGTGCCCTTCCTCGGGCTCCTCCGAAACTCGGGTCGTCTCGCTCGCGACCTCGGCATCCTCGCTCGGGCGATCCTTGCTTGGGGCCGACTGAGGCTTCCTTGCCGCAGGTGCGTGGCCTTGTGGGTAGTATGGGCCAAAGAGGTCCCCGAGCTCTTTGAAGTTGGCGGAGAAGCCGCAGAAGCAGCACACAAGCGCGCCCTTGTTCTGGGTGTCCGTTACCACTCGCCCCATCACAAAGCAGGACGACAATGGAACGATGTGAGAAACCGTTTGCGTGAGCGCTGTGCCAGATGATTTCTTTGGTTTGTCTAATTTAGACTCCTCGTCATTGCTGTTCACAACAGTACATATGGACTTTAAACTATTCTTGTTTTGCACTCTGATGTACGGAGAGAAACATTTGATTTTCGAATCGGTTTTATCTTCAGGCCTGTGAGACAAAGATTTAAGCTTTATCTCGGGCTCATTGGGCTGCACTCTGGGTCCAAACTGCTTTTTGGGTCGCCCCCTTCTCTTTTTTGCCACTGGCCCTAATTTCTTTCCTTTATTGATCATCTTTCTCTTTCTGGTCTCATCACCCTTTCCAGTATTAGAGGCGTCATGCTTGGCTGTACTCTCAGATGCCGGTTCTTTTTTAATAGCACACACAGGCTTGTCTGAACCCTTTGCATACGACCTACACTGCTGCTCTGCAAGCTTTGCGCCTGAACCTGTGGCCGATGCTCTGACTATGACTGGGCCTGTAGCAGAAGGCCTAACTGCTGGGACATTAGATGCTGTTTTTACAGAGTTACCTGGAAGCCTGACGTTTGGCGAACACAATGTTGGTCTGACCATCGAACCAGGTGCTGCAAGGCGGACAGCCAGGCTCGGTGTTTTGTGTCTGAACGTCGGACTTGAAACCATTGGTCTCGTCGCTGATCCTGAGCCAGTGGGTTGCACTATAGCAGGTGGAGCCCTCGGTCTGCCAACAATTCCAGGAGTCCTGGGTCTGGCAGCATAACTCGACGAAGTTGGCATATTAGGTGCCGCAGGAAACCTTGGTCCGCGATATAAAGTAGATCGCCCAGGAGGGGACAATGTGGAAGATGTGTTGTAAGCATTGTTTAAATTAACTCTCGACCACTTGGGGGACGAGGTGGATGCCTTCATTATATTTTGGGCAGCATTTACATTTTGAGATACAGATGTCGTTGGGAGTGCAGAAAATGCATTTGCCCGATTCATGGCATGGGGCGGTGACTTCATGGGGGGCATTCCTGGCTTTGTAATGCCATCAGAGTTTGGATACTTAAATGGCTGTAAGGATGCAGCTTTTCTGATTCCCTTGTTGGTCCCCCCATGCATCTCTTCATCACTGTCCCCTATTGTAATCGTTACTATCTCAGAAGGAGAAACTACTCCCACATTACCTGGACTTACATTCAAATTAGTCTTCTGCTGCGGAGCAGGTAAAGCCAATTTATTGTCAGATTTATCCTCTGGCTCGACCTTAACACGATGTTGATCAGTGTTTCCTGACAGAATTGCTTCCAGACATGAACTATTTGTGTGCCCATCGGGAGTATTGTTGGCCGAAGAAGAAATTAATCGTTTTGGCGATGTGATTTTCTGGACAATCTCTTCCAACTTCAGTCCTCTGCTCTTTCTTGGAGGAAGAATTTTTGTCCTACCTGGAGTTGGAAGGTTGGACAGACTTTGTTTACAGTGAGAATTAGGGGTTGCTTTTACCTGGCTCTCATTGACAACCGACGCCTGCTTGTTAACGTTTGCATCTAGCGACTCGGAACGTGGTCTCTTTAGAGAAAGGTCTTTAGCTGGTTGTTTGTACTTTCTTTTCATGGAGTCATTTTCTTCTTGGTCATTGCGCAAAGCAAGCTCTTTTCGTGCAAAGTTTCCTTTCGACATGTCAATGGCTATGGTTGCATCTGACACCTGCTTCCGTTTATTCATACCCTGCCTGTAATCAGCCGATGCAGACGGTTTTGCTGATTCTCCCATTTCTCCTTTAGAGTTGGTAGTCGAATTTACCATTTGGTGGTCCGACGGAGTTTGTCTGATCTGACTCAAAACCCTGTTAGAGGGCGAAGCGGGTAGAATGGGGCCATCTTCCGCAGACATACTTCCACGAGGGGATGTCTTTCGTGGGCTCATCCTTGTTGGATACACGGGACTGTTGGGAGGACCCTGCAATTTCTTTGCCAGCTGAGGGCTGGTAGCAGGACTGACACTCACTCCAGCAGTTCCAGGCCCTTTAATGTTTTCAGCCGCGGAGCCTGAACTAACTCGACGCAAAGGCCTTTTCCCTGCAGCCTCTGTACTTTGTTGATCTTCGGTCCTCCTGCCCTGCTCATCCATCCGCTTCTCATTTCCATCGTCGTCTATGGTTCCTTTTTTGTCTGTTGGTGAAAACTGTGGCCTTCCAGACCTTCGCAGTGTTGGCGGAGTGTTCTTGTTCCCTGTCATGTCTATGCCTGCAGATGGTTTTGTGGGCGACAAGCTGACACTCTGATCGCTGTGTACTAGTGGAGAGAGTTTTGTTGTATGACCGTGAACAGGAGACCTTTGCTGGCCATCAATTGAATTTTTGACACTTGGCCTACGTCCCGACCTCTTTCTGTCAGGTGTAACAGACATGGAATAATCTATGCCCTCGGCACTTGCCGCTTGTGCAGGCATTTCTAATTTGAGTTTTTTAGCCTCAACATTTCTTCCTGGTTTTTTGGAATCGTAAGCATTCACTGGGTTGGGCTTGCCCATTGCCGCGGATGGTGCCGAATGAGCTGTGATGGGCATTGCGTGGGCAACGCTTCTTACAGGCGATGTTTTACCACCCCTAAAGTAACTACCAGGGGCATGTTTTTGTGGAGATTTACTGTGTTGTGAAAAATCAACAGCAGACTGATTTTTATCCATGTTGGCTGACTGTAAAACAGAAGACCTCGTATTGGACCTCGGAGATTTTCTGCTGGGGATTTCAGATTGATGGTTTGATACACACTCGCCCTTAGAACCCAACAGCTGATCAGGTTGTTGCGATGCAGAATTCCTTTTATTAACATGACTATCGACACTCTGGAGTGGAATGGACAGGTCACGTATCAGCTGTTTCATCGAAGACATTTGCTCGTGTTCAGATTTTTCTATGAGCCTACTAAAACTTTCCAAAGCAATGCGACTGTTCTCTGCACTATCTGAGCATCTGTCAGATGACTGAGGGGGTCCATACTTTGTGGGAAACCCACCCTGCTGGTCTTTATTGGGGGTGTCTGTGCACTGTGAATGATATCGGGCATCTGAAGCTTTTGCGTTACTCGTATTGTTGGCTTCTTGAACAGGTATTGCCATTTGGCAGGACTTGCCCATTGTGCTGGTGGCGTTTACATGGGACACTAAGTCACTGGTACTTGGCCGAGAACTCATATTTACAGCATTTTCTCTATTTACATTTATTTCCCCCGTCAGACTGTCCGCCTCCCGTTTGGTGGGATCCTCCATCCCCGAAGAAATAACGCTAACGCACTGAAAAGGCCACCGCTCATTCATCTCGGTTACTAAGTTTGTGTCACTTCTTTCAACTGCACCACCTTGCTCCTTACGTACGACGTACTCCTTTGAGGACATGTCAATGCCATCCCTTGAAACAATAACGCCAGGACATTTGCCATCTCCCTTCGTCAAGTGGTTTCCTGAAATGGGTTCTTTAGGAGCTCCTACCGAGTTTCCAGAGTCTTTGTTAACCAGTCTGGGTTGAGATACAGGAGAGATCAACTCTGTGCCGTGAGATATACTAGGTGCTGGCTGCTGTCGGTGCAGCATGTAGGATGACGACAAATGACTCTGGTGCAGCTGATCTTTGTTCTCCAAGTGAAAAGATTTTTGAACATCAGTCTCCTCGCCAAACAGCATCCGTTCGGAACCGGCCGGGCTACTGCAGTTGCTGCTTTTTATCGAGGATTCCACGCTCCCTGGCTGTTCACGCAACGTTTCCGACTTTTTTGGTGACCGTTTTCCACCCTTCTTATGCGCTGCAAGAGGATCCGTGAGCAGCAGTTGTTGAACGGTGTTTGGAATGTTCTCGACCTGAGAACTGAGAGCGTTCAAGCTGCTAAGACTCGGGTCCATCCTCCTGCTTTCAGGAAGAGGTGACGCTTCCTGACTTCCTGCCCCGACATCTGAAGCCGTTCTGATGTCCAAACCTGTTCCGGTCATATTAATACCACCACTGGCATCAGCTCTCTTATCAGTCCCTTTCCTAATTATGTCCAAACTTGGCCCGGGTCCGCACTCAGAAACATTTCTACCATCGCCCGCTGGTTTGCTGCCGTCAGAATTGGACAAGGCATCCAAGTTAATTCGTATAGCGTCCATGCACGCTCTTGACTCGGTCGCACTCCTGACATCTGCATTCACCCCACCATCCAAAGCAGGAGCCTTGAAGTGGCTGTTTGCTAACGTGGTGGACGGGTTTGGGGAGTGCAGCAGCTGCGTCATGGGACCCCTCACATTGCCGGCGAGGGGCGTTTGAAGATAGTGGCTCCCTTCAGGGCTCTGAACCATGGGAGAGGTGTTGGAGCTGTAAGGAGGGGACTTAATTTGCTGCTGCTGTGGAGCCGGGGAGTGTGTGGATGCAGGGCTGAACGGTTGGTGGTGAAACTGCGAGGGAGATTTCACCCCCATGTCTGCATTGCTGTAGAGGTTAATCTGACCAGCAGCTTGACTGTGGGGTGTTGAGAACTGCCGCTTTTGTGATGCCTGAGCTTGCTCAAAGCCGGCTGCCACTGCTCCTTGCTGGTACCCGAACCCACCACCCTGATTACTGTAACTGCCGCCACCTCCACCGCTAGGGAATCCAGTTAAATGGGCATCGTACTGCGACATGGCGAACGGGTGCGACTTTGGGTTGTAATGTTGCTGAGACTGAAAAGGGGATGGTGAAGATGACTGGTAGTGCTGCGAAAAGTGCATGGGTGTTGGAGGGTAGTGGGGTGACTGCTGCTGCTGCTGTTGCTGCTGTTGCGAATGTGACATGGTGGACTGCGAGAGGTGTTGGGACAGGCTGGTGGGCGGCTGAGACGTCAGCGATGTCGGGGTTGACGCTGGGTGCTGCGACAGAGGCGTTGGCGCTGGCGGAGGGTGCTGGGAGAGGGGCGTCGGGGCAGGCGGGGGATGCTGGGCACCCCCCGAGTGCTGCAGCTGCACTGTCCGCACGCCCTGCACAGACTGCTGCGATGGTGCCTGCGTCTGCTGGTAGTGCGGCGAGGAGAAGGGGCTGCTGTAGCGGTCCTGCTCATATAGAGCATACGGCAGCGGTGTCGACCGCGGGCCCCTCCACTGCAGCTGCCCTTCGCTGTTGTACTGTCCTATGTAGTTGCCATCCTGTGCCGGGAGGTAATTACCAAGTCCCGTGGCCGACTGCGCGGCCTGCGGTGGCTTGGCCCCGGTGTAGTAATATCCACTGGGATTGTTCAGATAGCTGTGGTACGGGTGCTGGCTGCTGTAGTAGTCCCCCGCCCCGGAGGCAGATGGGGGCGGTGGCTGCTGTTGTTGCTGTTGCTGCTGTTGCTGCTGCTGCTGTTCGAAGCCACGGTACTGGCCCGTCGCTTGGTAACCCTCTCTTAATCCTCCTGGTTGGGGGTTGGTTATACCCAGCTGCTCGCTGAACGACTGCATTTTCTCTCAAAGAACCTGAAAATGCAACAACCGTTTTGTATAAGCATCGGTTATGTGAGCAGCAGTGTCATGTTGTGTCAGGTCTATCGTTGCATCTCCCTCTACAAAAATAACGTATGTTGCCCGCTTTCATTTGCAGTTATCATATTTGCATAATATACATATTTGAAGAGCAGTTGGTCTCTAGCACACACTGGCACAAGCAACGTTTTTAAATCAAGTATAAATGAAGCACTTATATTGGCTACGATTAGAAAAAGGCTGGTGGCCATTTTTGTGAGGCTGACACGCAACCATGTGAAGCTGCAAAGCGCACTGCCCGGCACTGCGTATAATCATCGCGACCATTAGTTTGTGCTCCAGGGTTAAACGGTTGCCAGAGGAATGTGAGCACGTAGCGCGACGTGACGCACCGATAGCACAGCACCGATAAGTAATGCTCAAACGATAGCCTAAAAATCTATCGCAACGCCCATTGTAATCAATATACACGTGGATAATCTGCCAGTGTATGCAAGACACATGGGTTTGTCTAAAAAAATCGTGGACAAACCGAAAAATGAACAATAGCAGCTTTCGTACCTTTGTAAAATAAACCTACCAGTCGCCATGGCAAAATCTAAATAACTCCTAGAAACAGATGACTATTGTGCTACCGATAATATATCCAAGCATAGCCAGCATTGCACATTATAATACCTGTATGGGAGTCAAGATCATTTATTTTAGGATTTGAGGCATAAACACAAAATGCATGCTGCTTGATAGCCAATGTTTGATTTCTGGCCATATTTGTATTCAAAAATAGCACTATCAAAAGGGAGATATATGTGTTTACAGAAACAGCTCTTGACGATAGCATAATTTTAAGACCATGCCAGAAGCAACTTTGTGGAGGCACACATGTGTGCAGAAGTGGTTTATTGTTGGCATAATTTTAAAATGAATAATTGGGATTATTTCACGTAAATTTGGGTACCCATGTTTCTGGGTTTCACTCGACTGTCTTTCTCAGTGACAGGTACGACTGATTATCATGGAAATCCTTGGTTACATTTTTAAGCCCTACCGACCACTGTACAATAAGCTGCATTTAAAGCACTTAATGAGCATATCACAAGGGATTATTTGTTCATGCAGATTACTGAATGAATTGAATGAATCATGATATGAGATCACTGCTTTTCTTTCCTTCACACAGTATAAGCCATGTAATACAAATTAAAGAATAATGTGCAAAGAACAATAATATCCACACATGGACAGTATCTTACGAGGAGCAGGCCAACCATCTCCTGGCTAATCACTAAAATAAATATATAAGCAAACAATACGCACCAATCTGCAGCCAATCAAAATTAAATGGATGATATTTTATTTTTTGATTTAAAGCTTTCGTGACTGCAGGGATTCATATTCTTGGTTCTTTCGGTAAAGTCACGTAGAAGAGAAACAATAAAATAATAAAAATATAAAACAATAACATTCTCACGACGTTTCGACTGCAACACAATCAATCATCATCAGGTGTGAAAACCACAACAAGAAAATTGGAAAAAAAAATGTCTTGTTGTGGTTTTCACACCTGATGATGATTGCTTGTGTTGCAGTCGAAACGTCGTGAGAATTTTATTGTTTTATATTTTTATTATGTTATTGTTTCCCTTCTACGTGACTTTACCGAAAGAACCAAGTATATGGGTGATATTTTGTTCATAAATTGCAAAATGAGTGCAAGATTGATCCAAAACCCAACCATGTAAACACCTCCAAATGCACCCATCCGAAAAAAAAAATTAATCAGATGCAAAGGATTCTCTTTAATTACAGGTCTCTGCATCTTTGTTCCTCGGCACCAACGCGCAGATAAAAAATAATTAATGGACTGGATATTTTAAAAGCCGAACGTCAACATACGCACGGCATAAGGCCTCCTTCGGCCTGCATTCAGTGTACGAAGACTGATATTTTTCTTGGCACAAAACCGTTCTGTGCAAACAAGGCCACATCTCCATACGTCAGGAGGCCCACACCATTGAATGGCGCCAGCGCAGATGTCACACACGCCTACATTTACCATTGTTACCGTCATCTGCTCCCCCCCTCCCACCATCCTGTGCGTACAAGTCTCCTGGCAGCGGTGGAGTGATGGGCAGGTTGGGCCGCAATGCCATGCATTACGCAGACGGTGCACGCGGTAATGAGAAAAGGACCAGTGAGGGACCGGTGGACTGGCCAGACGCATCACATATATCGTCGCATGCTTTCAACGCAAGTGTAAAAACCTCAACAAACCAGACCTCGCCACTGGCGCATCTCCCCCGAACATCCAAATTGCTCAGTTCTCACAGCCCACGCTGAAATTCTCTTCCTATAGCAGCGGCGAGGCAACCTATGGACAGCTGTTTGCACCAATTACGACAAAAAAAACCCCACGAACTGCAAGCAACGACATGCTTTGTTTGTCCCAGTTATCTAGTACCAAGCGCACACGTCAAATGAACTTTGCATTATAAGAAAAACAGACAATACAATAATAAAAAAAAACATATAAACATACGAGTCCAGCCAATGTGCACTTGCAGCGCTGAATCGTAACTCCAGTTGCGGTAGTGTGCGGTTGTAACCGCACAACAGCGGCCTTCCTTTGCAATAGCTTTAATAAAGCACAGCGACTTCATACGCACCCCCGCGTGAAGGCGGATTTAATAATACAGCTCCGTTGTGCTACGAGACATGCATGCATGCTTGCTTCTGCTTCGTGAAGTACACGAACCATTATGGAAAGTGGAAGGAATATTCTCGTATGGACACATTCACGGTGTGTTACGTAATAACTTAATTGTAATAACACAGCTATTTGTTAGGATGTTTTTTTTATCATTACATACCTGCGGACACTGTGCACCCGACACAATAAGACACGTGATTTCATTCGCCTCATTATCCTCCCCTGTGACCATATGGCACCCTTAGCATTTTATTCCCAGCAGCAGATTCCTTACGTAAAGCTCAAAGGTAAACACGGTCCTTCCTTCCGCAAGCTGCCGATTCACATCTGTTACAACACAAACCGCACTCTAACAGGACATTTGGTATTTCTTACTGGGCATTAACACGAATGTAAAAAAATAGTAAAATGTATAACATCGGTAAGCATCTTCTTTGTGCTTTAACACGATTTACTCGAGGCTGTTTTGCCTTTTCAAGATGCGTTTACCATTAATCAAAGTGAGAATTCAGAGGTTAGGAAATCAGTTACTGTCATTGTGAACATAATTTCTGTTAAGATGAAGACATAGCCTATTTTATGTTTATTTCATTGGCTGCAGTTTTGGGGTGCTGTATCAAAAATTAAATTCCTTATTTTATTCATTCTCTTGGCTGCTTAACACACAAAGGGTATTTTTTTGCATACAGAAAACACACGAGAGCACAAATATTTGACCAAAGCAAAATCAACTAAAGTGGTGGCACTATTTAAGGATGCGCAGATTCAACGGCAGCCTAAGTTTGCCCCTCCCACGACAAAAGCACTACTTGCAAAATCCCTCCGCGGGGAAAAAAAGTGCCTCGTGTTAGCCCAATGGTTGGGTGGTCTCGTGGAGAGCAATATTTACCAGCTACCATCCAGATTGCAGTCTTCCAAGTGAAGCCTTACATGACCCACAATGTTTGTCAAATTAGGATACATTTTATTCTAATTTATCTGCTCAACATAACCTAATCTGCTAGGATATTTGTCCAGAATAATAATAGCCTATTGTGAGTAAAAACTACACCGAGGATGTGAACAGTCTGTTGATCCACATTTATACAGGGAAGACACCACTCAGTATTTACTAAAAAAAATATATATCGGCACGTAGCTCAATGTTGCCGAGCCACAGACCTAATGCGCTTGACTTTTCTAAACTAAAGGCGGTTTTGTACTTGGCATCGACCTACTCAGTTGACTAATCTTAAAATAAGTGCCAACCTCAATGCCGTGGAAACAAAGGCAGCAGCAGGGCACAGTGCTGGGCTATATCTACCTTCTGGTGTGCAGCTGGGAGAATGTGTGCCACAGGCCCAGCGGACCATAAAGAGGGGGTCTTGTCTTTGTTGTTGCACATTGCCTTTTAAGACTGGAAACCCACAAGGAGATGCAACTTAGGAGGCGATGGAGGTAAGCTCAGCTGCTGCTTGGCCAGCGACTGCACCTTGTACCAACATAACCAAAGTCCTCAGCCCAAAGCAAACTTCTTCTATTTTGTCTTAAGAGCCACTTTGCACGATTTGAAAAAGCCTCAAAACATGTAGAATAGGGCAAGACAATGTATTCATCCCACACACAACCATCAAAAGCAGTACCTGCTCAACTGACCTGATTTGATTACATTCTCCTCCATTTGTGGTATTTGGCACACACCAGCATAATTTCCCGTGCACTTTTGGGCATGCATTAAATGCTAAATGTGCCCTTTACCGGCGCTTTATCACAAAACGCCTCCATCTCATTACAAATTTAAAAGAGAGCATTAAAAACACCATATTACAACACGCAGCTTGCTCAGTCACACAATATCAGGATATTCTGTGGAAATGTCGCCGTCTGCGGCGCTTTATTCGTAACAGAAGGGCTCTCATAGGGATTTCATAAATTAAAAAAAAATCCTACGATGTTTTAAAAGTTGTACACTCAAATTTGACGACGGTAACAGCAGCAAATTAAGCTATATCATGTGTATTTGTCTTAACCCTTAAACGCCTGGGCATGTTTGTAGAATATTCATGATGCACCCCAGTACGTTTCCCCCCTAGCTTCCTACTAAACGTGTGCCAGTCCGATCATGTTTTTTTCTTGTAAAAAATCCTTAGGCTTGTTTTTTCACTCGGCAGCCTTTTAAGTGTTAAGTCACATTGTACATCTAGAAATGCAATGCAGTACGCGTGCGCGCACACTAGAATAACCGCATTAGCTACAGATTTCAGATCCCAGCAGCAATGTCCATCGCGCCATGGCACGTTTGCTCACATTTACCCAGGAATTGCCAATGAATCGTACAGAAGGACAGACTGCATTTGCCAAAGTGCCTATGCAGGTGTTCTGTTTAATGACAATATAGACAAAGCCGTTTGTATATTGTCCAATTTGTGCTTTTTTCTCGGCAGGTCACTTAAGTGGTCAAAACATTGCACTGTGATTGTTAAGTGCTGTAATTATATAACGCTGTAATTGTACATTGAATACCGGAGAGGTATGCCTCTGAGCACAAAATGGACCTTTAAAAAAAACAATTATTTTCAAATAAAAATCCCACACGCATGCGCGCAAGAGAATGCCATATTTATAGAAAGGTCGATAAAAAATATACAACCGCACACTTCAGCTTAAACTCGCCCCCCTGCCTTCATATTATGGCATTCTCCACTAGGTCTCACTGAAGGCAATAACACACAAGTTGCCATAGCAATAGCGGCTCCAAAGTCGCATGCCGCTCATCGTCTGATGCTGCGTGGATACCACGTAAGGCAATCATTTCATTTACAGCCCTTTGTCAATCCACTGCTGAATGAAATCTGCTCCACGCTCATGATGATCACTGGGGTTGTTTGACAATACTTCAACCATGCTGGTAAGTGTGGGTTGGTGAAGCAAGGGAGAAAGGCCAGAACCGGTTTACTCACTGCTAGTCCTTGGGCTCACTGCTAGTCCATAATACTCACTGCTAGTCCATAATAGAAATCGGTACCACTTAAGGTCTTAAAACTTTAGTACCAAATTTATGTACATGGCTAATGAGAATTACTTGACAAACTAATTTCAAATGGTTATCACATAATTCGCCGTCATTGGCCACATCTAGAAATTGGAACCACAAATGTTATGCGACCTTGGGTGGTCCTGACAAGTGAAACATCGGGTCTAGGCTCATGGACTTTACCAGCCGTAGTCAGGATTCAAACTCTGGTCGCTGGATTTGTAGCGCAGTGCACATATCACTGTACCACCAGGTAATAGCACAATAAAAAAGAAAATCGGCAGCTCATAAAATCATGCCTCATGCAGACGAATGAAGGATTTTTTATGAGACGTTCAGCAAACGGCCTTTATTTTCTGTAGGAACAAAGCAATACCTTGTGTCTCTGTAAGGCTCTGCCTGGATTTACAGGTTCTAAGCATTGACTACAGTACTGTAGATTTCCTACCATGCTAAATAACATTAATCTTAGTCGTGGGTGGTGTACTATTGTGAATATGCTTAGGATGCGACTGCTGGCCTTTAAATACACAAACACCATTTTTGTGATCCCCCAATTCTTGAAGCTGTATGGCAATCGTAAAAATAGTAAGCTTGTTTGACACAGCCATGCTCAAGATTTTGATGTCGGAGACACAATATTCCCATTTAATCCAGGTTGCCACATTTCACTTGCCGAGAAGGAATACAATTTCATAGCTGAATACAAATCTCGTATGTCCACAGTACATATTATTTTGAAAATCACGAGTTTTTTTTTATTTAGCTCAGGCATGCTTATCCAAGCCCATTTTGTACACACACTGGATATGGGGTATACACTTTGGTTAAGCTTTTAATGATTGCACATACTTATTAATGTAGGCTGCCATTAGGCAGTGTTGTATCTGTGGACAGCATTACATTGAGAGCAAGCTGAACTAACTTAAAAACATGCGACAGTCAATTTTAGCACAACTATTTTCAGTCTGTTTTTCCAACCTCATCCAAGTTGCCGTATATTTTGCAGTGGAAAGTAAATTATTGCAATCAGTGGAAACGTGTAAAATCTATTACGTAAATGCATGTAATATTATTGAAATGTCAGGAATCGTTCAATTGGCATGAAGTGCAACGGACAAGCAACAATGGGTGGCCTCATTAACCAAGGTCTATGGTAGTTCAATGTGTTTCAGTTGCTAAGTACTGTACATCAATTCCAGATTCTGAGTAGGCGTATTACAGGATTGTCACGTGTTATGCATATAAAGCAGGGGTACTCTTATGCAAAAGCAATAAACAGCCATGGTCTCTCCATCGCTAAATGAAGGCATGCGCCCAAGTCATTGCCATCAATAACGGTCCTGTGAAGATATCCATCTCACTCCGGTGTACCGCATTGCTCCATCTCCATGGTGGTCACTCTCAAGCACATTTTCACCTCTGGCTACCACCAGTTTTGTGGCTCAGCCATCATCCTTCCTCAATTTGCTATGCACCAAGTTCACCTTCTTAAGTCAATACAATGGCTTTGATCTGCATTGGTTCACGGATCCACACACTTCTCTCGCAGTGTGATTCCGAGCATGCAATCTGCCATGCTGCTTTACGCTTTTGTTTCATTTTCTTTGTCAATGTTCCTTATTCATACATCAAAGTAGAAACATTCACCGACTGAAAACGTTCTGCTTCTCCGATACCGACCGGTAAGCTGCTTTATACACCAAGTTCAGCTTTCCAAAAATCACTCCATGCACCTACATTTTTGCCCCCTTTCATTATTTTCATCCCAATCCACATAATTTTCACACATCCGATTAGCACGCTGTTAAGGAAGTTCAACACACATACATTAAAAAGCTTCCCCAGGGTATACAAATTTCCGCATTTTGAGTTGTTTCTCCAAGCAATACAAATCATGTTTCAGTGGCCATCCAATTATCTGGACATATATAAATATTGGTGACAAAAGTATGCAAATTAAAGCGTTTTTCTTTGTTTAAAGCATGTTTTCTCTTCAATCTTTAAAATTGTGCCCCCCCAATAACCTTTCCTGAATGTGGCACCAGCTTCATTATTTCCTAAAACCCCAATGTATTTTACGCTTCTCATTTACTCGCTAAGTAAGCAGGTTTCCCAAGAGCATAGTCCCATTTATTTGGTATAGCCCTGCAAGCCATTCGGCTCTTGAATCGGGTGCAACCGCAACAAACAAAAACATGAACAAGAAAACATCTTAAAGTTACTATGTGACTGTGCAAACAGAAAATCCAGGAAAAAACATCAAAATATTCCTGAAATAGCACCATACACCAACGCTGTGTGCAAAAATCCCAGTGGGATGCAAGTCAAACAACAACAACCACAAGACAACTAAGATTAAGGCCATCAGTCTAACTCCGTACTACAATAAACAAAAACATGGCCAAACCAAAAAACTTTTCGAAATCACCAAAATAAAGCCATAAATATAATGTAACAGTGATCATAGGGACTGTGACCGAATTTTGTACAATAAACTACATAAATAACATGTAACACCAAACCCTAGAGCCATATCTGGCTGCATGAGTCACTCCACAACAACAGGAGCATCAGTCGGAGTATCACATTTTTCAATGCACCTTTAAGATCAGCACACTAAATCAAAATACAGTTAATACTTTGCAGCGGTCATCCGGAGCGAAACATTTTATTTTAGGCCACTGAATAGCAGTAGCAGCTATGGGTATACAACTCCTCTAGAGCAGTTTTGAGTGAAGATCTCATAGGTAGTGATTCAAGTTGCAGTTTATTGGCAACAACATTCCAGACCCTGGGAGCATCAATAGCAAAGGCCATTCTCCTCTGGTTTTTGGACGGCAATAGGGAATGTGAAGCTGGTAAATGAGCAAAGACCTGAGGTCAAATTTGTTCTTTGAAACAAAGAGGAGATCCAGCAGGTAGTCTGCGGATTTTTTTGTAAGTACATCGTGAATAAATAAGATCTGGTGCACAAGCCGTCGAACATTAAGAGATTCTAGATTTAAAGCTTTCGTGACTGCTAGGATCCATACTCTTTGGTTCTATTGGGTAAAGTCACGTAGGTAAAAATAAAATAACAAAAAATCATTGTTATTTTATTTTCACGTACGTGACTTTACCCAATAGAACCAAAGAGTACATTAAGAGATGTTAAGTTTGACCCAATGTAGAGATCACAGTGGTGAGTCCTATATGGGCAGTTCAATGCAAATCTTAAGGCCGAGTGATAGATGGAATCAAGCTTCTTCAAAAACATTACTTGGGGCTGATTTATACACGATATCACAGTAATCAAGTAGAGGCAGTATGGTCGCTTTTATCAATTCCAAACGGAACATAGGGGGGAAGCAGTGCTTGTGTCGATACAGAAAACCAATTTTTATTTCTGTCTTTTTACCAATATAATCAATGTGATCTTCAAAATTCAGTTATGAATCCAGGATGACCCCAAGATACTTATAGATCTTCACCTGCTCTATTTGATAATTATTTAAGGAATGTAATTGGGGAAAAATAACTTCCTGCTTTAGTCCCGGTGAGAAGCATAGCACCTTGGTTTTGGAAATATTCAGGACTAGTTTAAGAGCAACTAGCTGATGTTGTAGTTTGTTGAAATCACCCTGGAGCTTAGCAATCACGTCATCCGGAGAGCGGCCAGCAGTAATCAGTATCGTGTCATCTGCAAAAAGATTTACTCTGGAATGATCCAGGTCAGTGCCCAAGTCATTGACATAAAGAGAGAATGAGGGGGCCAAGGATGGAACCCTGTGGAACCCCTTTTGTTATCTTAACACTGTTTGACCTCCAACCATCTGTGAATAAAGTTTGGGTGCGAGAAAAGTGGTAATTTTTTAACCATTTTGCTGTGTTTTCGGAAAAACCGAGGCAACTTAATTTACTAAGCAGGGTGCTGTGGTCTACTGTATCAAAAGCTTTGGACAGGTCAAGAAAAAGACAGGCACAGTACTGCTTATTATCAAGGCTACTGTAAATTTGATTCAGAGAGTCTAATGCAGCAGATGTGGTGCTGTATTTTTTTCGGAACCCAGATTGTTTTAGATGTAGTAGATTGTTGGTGGACAGGAAACTGATAATTTGGTAGTTCAATAATTTGCAAAAATTTTCATCAATGGGGACAAAATTGAGATAGGTCGGTAGTTATTGGGATCATCTTTAGGGCCCCTTTTGTCAAGTGGACGGACATAGGAATGTTTCCATTCTAGAGGAACTGATGCTTCTTTGATGGACAGGTTGAAAATATGGGCTATAGGTTTGTATATTAGGTGACCAACAGTTAGAAGAGCAAAGACGGGAAAACTATCTGCTCCGGTAGAGGAGAACCCTTTGAGGTAGGACAGTTGTTTCAGAACATTACTTTCGTGGATTGGCTGGAAACTAAATTCGTTTAATGTTTGGAGAGGGGTGTAGGAATTTGCATGAGCAGGGGTGACTCCCAATACATTATCAACAAGATTACCATCTTCAGAAAAATGAAGGGATCTGAAAAATATTCCCCATTTCGGTTAAGCTCAACGGGCAGATTGTCTGTTTTGGATGCCTTTTCGATACATTAGATTGTTTTCCAAAAAATCCTGGCATTTCCATGTGATTCCAGGAGAGTGAAGGAAAAGTAGGCATTTTTTGCATGCCGTATTTTTTTGATGCATCTATTCCTTAAAATCCTGTATTCTAGCCAGTCATTTACCAAATTACTTTTCTGAGCACATGCCCAAGCCGTGTCCCTAGTTTTCATGAGCTTTGTAATCAAAGGATCAAACCATGGTGGGCGGTTGCCTTTAGTTTTAAATCTAACCAACGGAGCATGTAAGTTAAGAATTTGGAGAAACGTGTACCTGAAGGTCTCCCAAGCCGTAGTCAGGTTGGGGATATCACAGACCTTGTCAATATCCGAGTGAAGCACATCGTTAGTAAATGCCTGAGTGCTGAAGTGACTCAAAGAGTGCTTCTCAACAATTTTAGGGGGGGCTTTGGGTCTGGCTAATAATCTCACCCCAAAAATGAAGGAGTGATCACCAAGGTTATTACCCAGAACACCAGTCAGTGCGAAATTGTGAGGGGCATTTGTCAATAGGATGTCAAGCAGAGTTGACTGTCCCGGATTTTTTAGGTTGGGTCTTGTGGGGACATTTATTGAAACAGGTTAAATTCATCTGTAAAATTTGTGGCCACGGCCAGCGGGTTTAGCCAATTCCAATTTAGATCACCCACTAAAACTATTTCACCTTTAGGGAGGCCCCCAAAAAGCTCTCTCAGTGCAGATACAGCTTCAACATCCTTCCCACTAGGCGGTCTATAGCAGCACACTACCAATATCTGTTCATTATTTGGGAGAGTTATTCTGAGAGCCAAACCTTCAAAGCAACATTTTTTAAACGAGTGAGCTGGTGAACATGCAATAGTATTACGAACATCGATGGCAATTCCACCTCCTTTAGATCCTCGGTCAAGCCAAAAAAGGTTGTAGTTGTCAATCGTAATCTGCAAGTCATTGACGGCAGGAGTGAGAAATGTTTCTGTTAGGAAAAAAATGTCTGGGTCAAGATTTGCCACTTCTAATTTTAGTTTACTTAATTTAATCACAAGCCCTCTGATGTTGACATGGAGAACACCAACACCTTTTCTGTCAGAAAAATCTACAGAATTATACGAGTTCTTTACATTTGGGCCAGGATGAAGTTCAATACCACCCAGAGCAATGGACACCACTGTTTTGCTTCAAGTGTTATCTCTGGCGAAAATGAAGGGCGGACAAAACACTGGCTCACTCGGCCAAAATGACGGAGTTGCAGGCTTCACCTATTTGGTAAAATTGTCGCCACATCGGCGCGATGCTGCAATGGGCGATGCTGCAATGGGTCGAAAACGTTTTTATTATCAATACATCTCAAAAGGGCACTTTTGCAGTATTGGCAAACAATGTCCCTTTTGTGAATCCCAACACGTGGTTACAGGGCATTGTTCTAATGATGATTGTGTCAATGGTAATATGCCCTCAAGACAGGCTTTTTCCAGGTTGTGTCCAATCCATTGGATCTATAAAAAGCAACACATCGTTTTATACAAACTGTGGTGCATCATCATCAGCAGCAGCATTACTGCTACGTGTCTATCACGCACTTTTCTTTACATCAGATCTACAATGGTATCAATACAATTGTTTATGTAACACAGCATCACATGAAATGCATGCATTTCCTGAAAATTGCACCGATAAGAACACCAGTCTGCATAGCAATGAGATCTGAAGGAAGTGTTTCTTATTGCTTGTTACATATCCATAATGGTCTCAGGCATTGAAGAACAGAATAATTCTCCTCGTGTCAGACCCAGCGAAAGTATATCCCCTGCTCTTTTGAAGACCGCATACAGAGCTTGTAAGTATGTATTTTTTCAATTGAAATTATTTACACACGGTAGGTACAATATATTGCATATAACCCGTTTACTGAGACATTTTTCTTTTCTTTAAAGAGATCCCTACCTATTTCAAAATACCACATCTATACCCAACGGTAAATCCTTTCGTGTTATGGCATCATTTATACTCAAAGATGTTTCTCATATTGTACTTATAATTTTCAAAAGTGGATGTACGAAGGGCACTTGAGCCAGGGAAGCTTGAAGATGAAAATGTCACTCGTAGGGCCTGATTGCCATCATGGTGGAAACTCTTTTCTACCTGCTATTGGGTAAGGCTGCAAATATTTAAAAAAGGTCACGGCTTTCAGCCGAGCCAATTGAGGCTTGGAACACCATAACCCAACTGGGACTTGGCTTTTGTATTTCATGGAACTCCAGAAAACACATCCCATAAAAATTATCATTGTTTACTCTTATCCTTAGTATCTGCATGTTGTTTGGACATAAGCCAAACGTGAAATAGTTTTGGTCAAGGCATGTGATCTGTGGAGAATTTGACCAGAAATTTCAGACTTTGTTTTGTAAAGTGAAATCTTTGTCCAAAATGGGATTGACACCGAGTCCTTGTTTTTATCAAATGTCTCCGTCATTAATGACCAAATCACTCAGAAACTAAGTGGGGGTTATAGCATGGCTCATACACTTGATGGGAAACTGCTTGGGAACACCAGATATTGTACGCTTGCTCTGCAAAGTGGCCAGAAAATCGCCGTACAGCAATGGAATATTGACTCGTGTGTAGCGAGTTGAGTTTTATCCACTCATAGGCATTAAGATTCA